AGGGTTTTGAAAATTTGTGGTTTTTGGGAAAAAAATTTATGACCATTTCTCTGGAAGCAAAAAAAACTGAAAAAAAAAGCAAAAAATCTTTTCCGAAAGAAATAAGTGAAAAACACTTTTCAAAAATTTTATCGCTAGCAGAAATATCCTGATTTGTTATTACCGCTATCGCGTTTATATTCATATTATTATTATTGTTATTATTATTATCACTGTCGTATTGTCATTATCACTATTATTACTATCATTACTATTATTATTGTTATTATTGTCGTTGTTATTATTATTGTCATTATTATTTTTACTACTATTATTATTACTATTACTACTATTCTTGTTTCAAACGCCAAAAAGTGGGTTTATATCCAACCGCATGGACGGCAAGCACAAACTGGAGATATACAACTCAGGTTTGGAGGGAGGGAGAGGGAAGGGGGGCACTGCAGCAATCAAGGAAAGTGCCATTACATTGATTTCACTCGGGTATTTAGAACAAAAATTGAAAAACACTAACCCGTCCGGAGCATTCCCTCGTTGTTGGCCCGCCAGGTATCATAGCAGAAGCGGGTGATGAGCTGGAGCTGTTCGAATCGTGTTGTTGCTCTGGTGTTACTTTTGGCCTGAAATAACACTTCATGGATTCACATGACAAATTCGTTTAGGACTCACCCAAAAAGGACCACTAGCTTGCTTCTAAACAATCTTCAGAAGAACAGAAACCATTAAACAGCTCCCTGCCAGTAGATGGACAACTATTGGCAGTGTGTTACTCCACGTGGGCTATTTTCCCCGCATCTTATTTCACTCATGGAAGTGTAACTTTTGAAGAGCTTTTGCTCCTTACAAAATAAATGACTGTAAATGACTAACAAAATTAATAACTAATAATAAGTGACTATAATCCGAAATATCGAAAAGGAAATCCGTAACAAATATACCAAATTCAATTCTATTCATATATTTATGGTACTAGAAAAAAAAATGTGTACAACTTCATGGACTGAAATATTTCTTTTACGCTCTAACTCCGCTCCGTTTTTCATTTTTCTCAAAACAGGTTTTTTTTTTTGTTCATTTACATACTGCAACAATTATTTAAAAATAGAAAAAAAAAATCATTTTACAATACAATTTCCCTAAAAAAGCCGTATGCCCCTCTTCATCATTCTTCGCTTATCCTTCAATCCTTTTCTAATTTATGCAAGAGGAGAAGCAAATAGCGAATTTTTCAGATTTATTTGTTGGGTTTTCTGGTCCGGGCGCTTCAGTCGAGTGGCCGGGTACTGCGGCCTGTCAAGTCTGGTCGTCGACCCCTCCGCAATCACTGGGGATAGCAACGAGGTCCTCGTTCTTCGTAAGTCGTCCTGGTTGGCGCACTTCTTGGGATAGACACTACTCGATCGACGCTCCTCGATGGGATTGGCACTGGTCCAGATAATACACTCCTTACAATGCAGATACGGCGGTCTTATTTAAGCCGATTTCCCAGAAATTCTTGAGCACATCCATCCGAGGCTCTTCAATTCCTTTCATTACAGCAAATGCTTTTTTGGGCTTACTTCTCATCGCCAGGCGTTTCCGTCGTTGTTGCTGACATTGCTGCCGCCGCTTTTGCTGCAGCTGCTGCTTTCGCTTCCGCACAAGTAGA